ACTATATTTAGTTGATTTAGCATTTAGATTTCAAGTTGATAACTTTGAGAATCTATATCTAGTTGCTTTGTATAAGCATGTTTCTATCTGGTTGCTTTGTGTAAACATGTTTCTAACTAGTTGTTTTGTGTAAGCATGTTATATCTTGTTGCTATGTGTAGCATACTCTTGTGTTGTTGAAATTGCATAAAGGATGTGTTTTATGCTAGAAATGATCTTAGGTAGTTAGAATGCTCCCTGAGTCTCACCTTTGACATAGACGTTAGGTGGAATGAACCACAATGATTAAATCATGTACACTTGTAAAACGTAGGTCGATGCATACTCATTTCCTACGAGTAGCTTTATGTTACTCACCCCTACGATACTGGGGCATATTTCAAATACAGGATATAAGATTGGAGATTGCAATTGCTTGGGTGATTTGCTGAGTTGAGCTTCTTTAGAAACATTCTTGTTCACATGTAAGTGTTAGCATGTTCATGATTTATCCATGAAATGTAATTTTTCTAACTTGGAAGTCTGACATGTCAAATGTTGTAAATGAGTTGTAATAAGGCCATAGGCTATTGTAGCATGTTTAAAATACCATTTTTACACTTGCGTGTATGTTCACATCATCGCACAAAAGCATATAATGCAATTTGATCATGCCATGGGGAGTCATTTTGATGCCTTAGGGATGACGTCATCTCTAGTGGCCACTTAGTTTCCTTCGTTTCCGCATTTCGGATCCGTTATCGGGTCATTCTTTTGGTTCATTACAGGACACACTGGGTTGAAAAATCTAGGGTCGTCACACATTGGGTGTGGGAATTCCATTTTGATTCTTCCGTAGGATCTCATTAGTCATGTATGAAGTGTGGCCAAGGGTCAAACGGTCATTTGAAGTCATTTGTTGATTTTAGTTTTCAAAGTTTTCATTTTAAGTTCATTTTCGCCTTTTTTGCCGTGGGGGGGTCGGATTTTGACTCGGCCATTTCCGGGAGCCATGGACCATTCTCGTATGCTCAAAATCACTTATTACGTGTGCGTACATATTCGTTTCAGCTTAGAAATGCATTTTGGGTCAAATGTATGCTTGGTGCAAAGTTGCATTTTCGCGTTTTGAGCCTAAACTGATCTAAGGGCATTTTGGGGATTTTTTTGGGAAATAAATTCCGTTCTCAACTCTGTCACATAGAAAATGTGATTTTAGGGGGAGTTTCCTTTTCGTGTTTTTCCGAAAAATGCCATCTTGACCTCATAAACCGCACTCCAAGTTCAATTTGCTGCTAAAAACACTGTTCCTGCATTTTTTGAGGTTCCAGCCCATGCCACTGCCCTATTTGGCGGGCGCCCGCGGCTTACTGCCGCATTTGGTGGGCCCCCGCAGGTACTGTTCCTGCTCCAGACACTTTTTTTCAACGAGCCATATCTCACTCGTTTTAACTCCCAATTGGTCCGTTCTTGAGTCTAAACTGACCGCGTCGAAATAAGACTTCAAATGGTACCAATTAGAGCTTTAGGTTCCATTTGTAGCTCAAGTTATTCATGTTTTAGTGAAGTAGTGTCAGGATTTGGTTCGAACCGGGATATAGTTTTCCTTCCTTCGACTTCAGGACTTGATATTTTTTCCGTCCGGACTCCGGAACAAGTGATTCTTGAGTCTAACTTTATTAATTTTTCGTTGTCTTTCCAATGGTACCAGTTTCAATTTCAGAATTTTCTCATAGCTCAAGATATATTTGTTTTAGTAAGAGGGTGTCGGATTTGGTTTGAACTAGAATAGGGTTCATCTGGGATTTCTCTTCCTTTGGCCTTGGGACTTCATGTGAAGTTACCAAAGGGTGTTTTAGGATGTTTTAGATCTAATTTGACTTGTTGAAAGTTAAATTCCTTCCTCTTACTGTAAAATGACCATTTTACCCTTGGTCCTTCTTTTGGTAGGGTTTTGATACCCTTATCTTTGTTTTGCTTCTGCTGAGTCTCAAATTTCCTCGAAGGGCCATTCTTGTGTCCTAGGGATAACGTGCATCTCTATGGACTTGTCTTCGTTTCGCTTCCGCATTCTAGATCCACTTTGGGTCATCACAGGACACACTGGGTTGAAAAATCCAGGGTCGTTACAGTGTCACACTTTCTCAAAATTGCAAGTTAGTCCATCTTCTAAATATCTTACAAAATAATTGCAAAAAGGTCCTTAAGACAAAATATCTTAAAAACTTAAATACGCAAATAACCCCGAAAAACGAAAATGTTTCTGAGAAACTATGCATCCATACCCCCAGAAAATAAAATTAAACGAGCATACTTTTCTATCAAATTAAATCATGCATTGACAGTAAAAGATAAAATAATGTAATGCGCGTGATGCCGAAAATCGGTTCCGGACTCCGAAACCTACCTCGGGGTCATCAAAACCCTAAGGCAATGAGCAAAAGAATAAAAAAAAATAATAATTAAATAATTAATTAAATAAAAAAAAAAAATTTGTCAGAAAAAAGATAAAGATGACACGGTCATCACAAAAGAACCCCTCTTAACTATCTAAGGGGTAAAATAGTTGATATTTGGATCAAAATGCCCTTTTATTTAAATTTTAATTTTCCCAAACTTAAAAAATTCATATCTCACAAACCGTACGTCCAAATATTACAAATAATATATGCATGGAAAGCTTATAAAATAAGAATTCCATAATATAAGATTTATATAACAAAACTTCATAACCAGAGAGAAATAGACAATCTAAAAATCTACTATAACAATCTTATTTTATTTTATTTTTTATAAAATACTCAGTTATTTGCAAGAAAATTTTCAGAATTATTCATTTTCATATGGAGCATAACATATAAAGAAATTAGCCCCAATAGAGACTGAATATTCATTTTTATTTATTTTTTAAATGGTGATTCTATAAACGAATGAAAATACTTTGACGCAGAATATGATATTTCATGAAATCGATTTTTGTTGGGGCTAAATTTTTTTTTTTTAATATATATTTGGCTCCATATATAAATGAATAATTCTGAAAATTTTCTTGTAAATATTTCTATTATTTCATTTTTTAAAAATAAAATAAGATTGTTGGAGTAGATTTTTAGATTGCTTATTTCTTTCTGGTTATAAAGGTTTGTTGTACAAATCTTATATTTCTGAAATCTTTATTTCATAAGCTTTCCGTGCATATATTATTTACAATTTTTAAATGTACAGTTTTGAGATATGAATTTTTGAAGTTCGGGAGAATTAATATTTAAATAAAAGGGCATTTTGGTCCAAATATCAACTTTTTTTATCCCTTTCAGATAGTTGTGGTGAGTTCTTTGGAAAAAAATTAGACAAGGGAGATTTATTGGAAAAAAGGTTACATGTTGAGGGAGGTTTTTTGGTAAAAAAAATAGATATGGGGAGTTTAGTATAAAATACTATAAATCGAGGGGGGTTTTATGTACTTTGCCCTAATATAAATGTTGCAGGTGATTAGTACTTGAGGTTGTGGATAACTCCAGTTCCAAAAATAATTTTCATGACAAGGAGTGACGAGGATGAGTGCGAGTGTATAGATAGAGAAGAGTAATTGGGAAAGAAAGAGAGTACCTTTCAATTTTTTAAAAATTTCTAAATTAAAAAAATTAGGGGTAAAATTGTATATTTATAAATTTTTTATGGTGTCAGTAATAAAAAAATAAAATTGGACTTAAATGATAATAAAATTAAACTTAAATAATAGTTAATTTTGAAAATTATTTAAATGTGATATTTGATCAAATTTAAAAAAATATCAATATAATTAATTCTATTTTGAAAACTTACAATATTTTTTTCCCAAACGCTTTATATATTTTTGTTTCTAAAAATTTAGACTTTCAATAACATTAAATACATTCCAAACAGAAGCATTAGCAATTGTGGTGGTTACCAAACATACCTTTAACTCCTTGGTAGAATAGGGCCCTCGATAGGAGAGGCTAATTATAATTTATAAAAATAGCTGCATCCCTTAAATGCTAATTATATGCCGCCTTATAAAAATGTATTCAGAATGATACGTTCATTAAATTATAAGATTATCTATATCGGTTAGACAAGATCATTTATCATTATAACATCTCTTATTCTTATCTGATATGTGCATAGATTATTCGTTATATTTGAACGATACCATTCCAATTATAAGACTGTTATAACTTATCTTAAAAATATTGGTCCACCTCTCGTGATAATAATCATAATTTATATTTGAATGATACCATTCCAATTATAAAACTAAATGATTAAATAGCTAACACAGAACAAAATATCAATAAATTAATTCACACGAGTTTGTCATTTTATCAATCAACTCTGTTAGTCCACCTCTATTCAATATTTTAAAATTTAGTTTTGTATACGATTTTTATTTTTATTTTTTTATTTTTTTAAAAATTTATTAATATCCCACATAAACTCTTTTACATTTAATAGTTTCACTGATCTCTACAAGTTGTGTTTTATGTAAAAGAGAGAGACAAAATTTAAGAGAAGAAAAATAAAATTAAAAAAATAAACAAAAGGCAAGTTTTGCTCTTTAATGCCTTAAATAACATCTTTAATCTCTTTCAGTACAATTTATGAGAAAAATGATAAAATATTATACCATCATTATTAATTAGACAGTTGATTGAGGAGATTAGTGGGATATTAAAGAGGTGGAATTTATCATAATATCTATTTTTATTATTTATCAACATTCATAATAATTGAAATGTGTAGAAGTGTAACAATATACATACTCTCCGCTAATGGGTGAGACTTGAGACGTCGCCTTATAGGGAAGGATTCAAATTTTAAAATAAATAACAATAAATAAATAAAATTAGAAAAATCTGTTGAAAAGTCAGCGTAACTCACACGTTTTTATATGTGATAAACACGTGGCATAGGAGCCAATTGTAATTGTATCACCACCACGACCGTAACCATCGACTGTGATCCTTTTCATTCATCTTCTCTCCGTATTCGTTCATTCACAATTTCACACATTTTCTTTCTCTTCTCTGCAGAGATATTTATATATATATATATAGACACACACAGAAACACACACACTAAAGCATATTTCTTTGTCCATATTCTATTCCATTTCATTTTATTGGAAGGAAGAAAAGAGGAGAAGAGAAGAGGGTGGTTCGTAATGGGGCTCGACTCCTCATATGGTGGGAATCCTCGATCGGTCCCCAGAGAAGACACTCCTCTCCTCGGAGGAGTCGGAGTTGGCGGCAACTCCAAGCCCCTCTCCTCTCAACCCAAGAGCTTCGCCAATGTATTCATCGCCATTGTTGGTGCCGGCGTTCTCGGCCTGCCCTACACCTTCTTGAGGACCGGTTGGGTCACCACCTTCCTAATGATCTTTGGCGTCGCTGGTCTCACCAACTATTGCATGATGCTCCTAGTCTACACCCGAAGAAAACTTGAGCCCAACAATGATAAAGATTTCAACACCAAGATCAACTCTTTCGGCGATCTGGGTTTCGCCGTTTGTGGCTCCGTCGGCCGGTTCGCCGTCGACACCATGATCGTCCTCTCTCATGCTGGCTTCTGCATTGGGTATATCATATTCATAAGTAACACCCTGGTCAATCTCTTCAATTCATCAGCGATGCTCCACAATAAATATTTCAAATGGACCACCCCCAAGATTTGGGGGATTTCGGCCAAGAGCATTTACATTTGGGGTGGTGTACCATTCCAGTTGGGTCTAAATTCCATCCATTCATTGACCCTTTTGGCCCCTTTGAGTATATTTGCAGACATTGTTGATCTCGGAGCAATGGGTGTGGTCATGGTTGAGGATGTTGTGGTTTTTTTGAAAGATAGGCCTGCTGTTGAGCCTTTTGGGGGTTGGTCTATGTTTTTCTATGCTTTGGGTGTCACTGTTTATTCATTTGAAGGGGTTGGAATGGCGTTGCCATTAGAGTCAGAGATGAAAGATAGGAAAAAATTTGGGAAAGTCTTGTGCTTGACCATGTTTTTCATTGCTTCCATGTATGGGATATTTGGGCTTCTGGGTTATTTTGCTTTTGGTGAAAACACAAAAGATATAATCACAGCAAATATGGGCAGAGGTCTGATGAGCAGTTTGGTCCAATTGGGTCTTTGTGTGAATTTATTCTTTACTTTCCCATTGATGATGAACCCTGTGTATGAGGTGGTTGGAAGAAGGTTCTGTGGTGGAAGATGTTCGTTGTGGGTGAGATGGCTACTGGTTATTGTAGTCAATTTGGTGGCTCTGCTTGTACCAAATTTTACCGACTTCCTGTCATTGGTGGGGAGCAGCATTTGTTGTGTGTTGGGCTTTGTTCTGCCTTCTTTGTTCCATTATCTAACTTTCAAGGATGAGATGGGTTGGAAAGGAGTGTATAGGGATGTGGGCATAATGATTTTAGGTATTGCTCTTGCGGTTACGGGGACATGGTCTTCTCTGGCGGAGATTTTCTCCGTGAAGGTATGATGTTTTGATCTAGCTTCAAATGTAAATTTTTAGTTTGCAGTATGAAACATTCTCCGTTTACATCATTATTGTTTTTTGAAAACCCAAGTTAATAAAGTGTTTTCATCTTTTATATGGCTGCGTAATTTTATATTATGAAGAGAGATATATAAGAAGGAATTTTCATTTCACTGATCTCATGTGCTGCACCCACCATGCTGCTGCACATTCGTGATTCTTAGAATCAATATATCAGTATATGCATTTTCATAAGTTAAAATTATTGTTTTCTGCATTATACATAGCATAATGCAAAGCGCTTGAGAATTCTATTAATTAATGTTTTTATAAACAATAAGTAAAAATACTACAGTTATCATGAGAAACATTCCAATTTCCTACCATTCATGGGATAGGAGTACATTGCAGAAAACATCTTTTTAGAAAAACACCCTTTTAGTATGGCATATAACACCCCTACTTTTAGTATTCCCCAAAGTGAAAAATGAATTACTGAAACAATCTTCTTCATCCATCCTTTGAGTCGACGACTCTCAAGGACTACAAAAAGCATGGACGTTGAGGACATATTCATTTGGAAACAGAAACCTATAAACCCTTTTCGCAGACCTTAAGGGTTTATGGGTTTGGGCACCCATCTATCCACCTTTGTTTTTTTTAATTTTTTTCATAAGTATCTATCCACCTTCTTTAAGTGAATATCAGTCTGATGCATTGGAATCCAATTGACAGATGATGAAGAAAACTTTTCTGATAGTTTCATAGTTTGTTCCACATCATTCATGTTTCGGGTAAAAACATTAGGGTAGTGATAGAAATGTTTAATATTTGGTGGGACCATATATTAAGCCACATCAATTCGTGATCTGTATCACAAAATCCCTTTCGAGATGTTTAGAGTTTCACAGGCTTAGAGTTTCAGTACCACTCTAGCTGCTCCCGTGCGGCACCAAGACGTTGCTTCCACTCTCGTAAGTACTTAATCAGCTTAACTCCCGTGCACACCTTAGCCAACACACTCCCCTCGTGCGCTTACTAGTATTGTAGTGGCTCTCGCCCTGTCCTCACTTGGCTTGCACACTCACACACACTAAGGCACTTAAGTTGGTAAGGAAAGAACACTTCTATTACTTCAAAGAATACTTTGTACAAGGCTAGCATTCAAGCTCTCTACAAGGCTCTCAAGACTCACTCTAGGACTTGTTGGCTACAAAATGAAGTCCCACTCCTATTTATAGGCGTCCCCATCCCTAATGGATGGCTAAGATGTATTCTAACCAACGGTGGAGATCGATTCTCTAGAATCTTCTCCCACTTTCTTCACACTTCCATACTTATCTACTAGTATCTATAACATTCTAGAACTCTCCCTACTACTCCACACAATTCTGGAGAACTCTAGAATATACTACACATATCTAGAATCTTCCACACAACTCTAGACAACTCTGGAAGACTTTAGAAACTCCACTCGCCATCCAGCGTCCTCCTCAGTGTCTGCGTGTCGCCTGCGTGGCACAACCTCCATAGGCGGGGTGTGACATTCTCCCCCACCCATTTCCATGACGCCCTCGTCACGGTTTCTTCAGCTGACCCAGCCTCTCGCAGGTCATCAGCACTTGTGTATATGTCCTTGGCCCAAACGTACGAGCGCCCTTCGGGAGATGTGAGGTCCTCACGAGCTCCATCGTGTTGACTGCCACCTCTGGACTCTCCTTCCTGCCCATGAACTCTAGCCCCAGCACCATGTCGTGGTCATCCATCTTCGCAACCTGGAAGTCGGCCTTACCCTTTCATCTTTGCAATGCATAGCTCCGCCTCCTTGCACACTTTACTCACGCGTTCTTCCTCGGAGTTGACGACCTTAATTCAGCCCTCTGTCTTGCACATCTCCAAGCCAAGTTGTTACGCCTCCTCCGGGGTAATGAAGTTGTGTGTGACGCCCGTATCCACCAACGCTTGCACGGTTTTGCCACCAACCTGTGCATCCACATAGCGCACCCCAGCTACCTTCTTTGCCTTGCCCTTCTTCTTGGTGTCATACGCCATGCTACTCAGCATCTGCATAGCCCCCATGCACCTGTCTTCATCGCTGCCCGCATCGTCCATCTTATCCTTGCCCTTATCCTTCATAAGGGCACTCATGGTCTTCTTGTTGGGGTAGTGTCGCAATAGGTGCGGTCCTTCGCACAAGTAGCACTTCGGCAGCTCCCACTTGCCCTTGTCGCGGCTCTCCCCTTTGCCACTAGCCTTGGACCTCTCTCTATAGTCCTTGCCCTTATCATGGCGTGGGCGTCTCTCCTCATCGCTGTGCTCATCATCACTAGACTTGGGCAAACCCCCTTTCTTGAAGCGTCGGTCTCCCCCACCTTTATCGTGGTCCCTCTTGGGAGACGTGGCCCTCTTGTCATCGCGCCTAAAGTCTTCAAGGCACTCCGCTATAGCCATTGCGGATGCCAAGTCTCTAGGCTCCCTCCTTCTCAGCTATGTGGCTACCCAAGACTGTAAGCCATCAATGAACAAGCATACGCGTTGCCGCTCTGGCATCTCTGGGATCTCCAGCATCAAGTTGGAGTACTCCTTCACATACTCCCTTATGCTGCCCTTCTGCTTCAAGCGCCTTAAGTTGATCATAGCGAGGTCCTCGATGCACTTAGGGTAGAACTACCTCTTGAGCTGCCTCTTGAACTCCTCCCACGTGTCAACTGCTCTTGCGCCCCTACCGGTGAAGCGCTGCCTCCACCATAGAGCGGCGGTGTCTGTGAGGTACATAGTACCTGTCTGCACCTTCTCCTCATCATCCTCGATCTCCATGCACTCGAAGTACCGCTCCATGTGCCAGAAGAAGTTGTCAATCTGGCGCGCATTCCTCGCCCCATCGTAGTCCTTGGGCTCCGGCACCTTCTTCTTCCTTGGCTTCACCACGACCTCGCGCGCCTGGGAGAACTCCTTCTTGCACTCGGCAATCTCCACGCGCAAGTCGTCTACCAGATCATGCAAGTCTCTTTCCTTTTCTTGTGCCTTGTTGGCGATGCCATCAATCAACTCGTAGAGCTCCGCCATCCTTCTCTCGAGCCTGTTAAACTTAGTCTCCGTGTAGACCAAGAGTGTGGCAAGTTTCTCCTCTTGCTCTGCTCCAAGACGTAGACTTGGTGATCTCTTCCGCTAGCCGCGTCTGCTCCAACAAAGCTCCCTTGACGAACCTGCTCTGATACCAACTGTCACAAGCTTCGAGTTTCAGCACCACTCTAGCTGCTCCCGTGCGGCACCAAGACGTTGCTTCCACTCTCGCAAGTACTTGGTCAGCCTAACTCCCGTGCACACCTTAGCCAACATACTCCCCTCGTGCGCTTACTAGTGTTGTAATGGCCCTCGCCCTCTCCTCACTTGGCTTGCGCACTCACTCACACTAAGGCACTTAAGTTGGCAAGGAAAGAACACTTCTATTATTTCAAAGAATGCTTTGTACAAGGCTAGCACTCAAGCTCTCTACAAGGCTCTCAAGACTCACTCTAGGACTTGTTGGCTACAAAATGAAGTCCCACTCCTATTTATAGGTATCCCCATCCCTAATGGATGGCTAGGATGCATTCTAACCAACGGTGAAGATCGATTCTCTGGAATCTTCTCCCTATTTCTTCACACTTCCATACTTATTTACTAGTATCTACAACATTCTAGAACTCTCCATACTACTCCACACAATTCTGAAAAATTCTAGAATATACTACACATATCTAGAATCTTCCACACAATTCTAGACAACTCCGGAAGACTCTAGAAACTCCACTCGCCATGCAGTTGTCATGCAGCGTCCTCCTCAGCGCATGCGTGTCGCCTGCGTGGCACAACTTCCATAGGCGGGGCGTGACAGTAAGGAGTAATAGAGGGTAATTTGGGTATTTAGGAGGGAATCACTGTCACATGCGCGGCACATGGTCCTTTTAACAGCTATTTTCCAGCAGCACTTTGATAGAAGGGTGCAATGTTTACATTTTTCGGAAGTTAATGTAAACATAGTCATTGAAGTTCAGATTCAAATGAATGTAGGGCTATTTTATCATACTACCATTTAGGCCCGAGGACACTTCCGAGTTGTGACCTCTCAACTTTTTAATAGGAGTCTTTTCTCAATTCTCATTCTCAATTTTCAATTCTCAATTCTCAATTCAATGGTTGAGGGTCATGTGTGTTCTCACGTTTATTGAATTTACATTACGTCATTTAACGAATTTAATGGATGGAAATACAAGTACATGGTATGGTATATTCTTACCTTACAATTTTCAGAATGAACAGGGAGAGAGTTGTATTAAAAGCAACGCATAAAAGCTGTGAATTATGAAGTTAATTGAGTTGAGTTGATTCCATCAGCTTTTGTATAAAGATTGGAAAAGAAGCTGTGAATTATGAAGTTAATTGAGTTGAGTTGATTCCATCAGCTTTTGTATAAAGATTGGAAAAGAAGTGGGTGGTGGTATTTTTGCCTGCTAATATTTCACATCACTTTCCTAGTGGTAAAATTCAGATAGTGATGTAACACCATCGAATCACTGTTGTAGAAATCATTTCATATTCAGAGTTTAGATTCTCTGCATGTCGAGAAATTATTTGATATGGTCTTAAAGCATTTGATATTTGATATTTAGTAGACTAATTCAATCTGAATTCTTTATAATATATTAACATATTGTTGTGAGAGTATTTTTTCAATTCGAAAATCTGGATTAAGTTGTCCATCAAATATATGGTTCAGGACTATTTAATAAGAGAATTTTATTTATATCAGTTAATAAAAGAGCCCAATGCAAAAAAAAAAAAAAAAAAAAAAAAAAAAAAAAAATTGCATGTTGGGTCTTTAAAACGGTTCATATTATTTTGGTAATAATTAATTTGATCTATTTTACCGAGGAGGTCTACGATTTGTCGTTTAGAGCAAAACTGAAAGCAAAAACGCATCCGAGCATGGCCACTTTATCGGCAGCCTCATTACCATTTCTCTTGACATGGCTAATCCGATATTAGGCAAATCTCTGAAGCCAGCCTTTGAATTTGTAGAGGAGATTTACATAATATTACAATAATACAATCCCTAAAATCAAGTTATACAAT